TATAACATTTATCAGTAGGGTTCCTAATCGAAGCACTGGATTGGTGTAAGTAAATCATAACTTTACCGCTTTGCCGTGACGACTTCGAAGCCATGCATATTTATACGGTAACTGTCTTGATTAAACTATTTAATTCACACAATTTGAATTTTAAAATTGTATCTGCGAGTTATCTGCGCGTAAATAAAACTCCTCAAGTTTTGTAAATGAAGAGAAGGCGAGTAAAAAAAAAAAAAAAAAAAATAGAGCAGTGAACAAGGCAGAGAGAGAGAGAGTGCACCGTATATACAAACAGTAGAGTAATTTTTCAGGCGGAGGCGAAAAATCGTCACAGGATACGTCCCTTGGGAGGAAGTACAAGGGGGAGGACGGGGCGGGGCAAGACATCACGTTTTATTGCGTGGCTCAAAGTGGCTCGTCGCCCCGAGTGAGCGCCAAATTCCCCTTCGCTTTATTTTTGACGAGTATCTTTCTCCACTTCCACGCATTCCTTGCTCTTTCTTTCCCCCCGAGCTTTATGATTCGCTAGCGCAGGACGAAAAAAAATCGCATCCCTACTTCCACGTGTATAATTACATGTACAGCATTTTTCCTTTTTTTTTCTTCATTCTTCATTTTTCACGGCTCCTCGTTTTCTCTTTGGAAACTGCATTTGTGCGCGTACAAAACTAGTTTTGCATAATAACCGAAGGATTCTTGCTCTTTTTTTTCCCTTTCCTCACCGGAGGAGGACCATTCATTGTTTTGCTCGGCTCTCCTCCTCTTATATTCTAACTCTCTTCTGCAGTTTAATCAAGGAATATGCAAATAATATGCATGGCAGGCTTTTCCTCCCGCTCCCTTCTTTTTTATTTCTTGTTATATACGGGGGCGTCGTTTTATCAAGATTAACAAGGTGTGAGGCTTATTTTTTCTTTTAATTTTCAAAGTATAATATTATTCATGGGGCTTCTCCTCAGGTATTTATTGTTTGATGGATAAATCGAACGGGATGGTTTTTTGTCAGAAAGTTATTTATCTGATCAATAAAATGTAGTTTAATTTTTGTAACTTGATAATTATGCACGTTTCCTCATCAACGCTGGAAAAGTTGATATAAAATAGCACATTGAAATGAAACTGTTGCAGCTTCAATCCGCTAACAGGCGAGTTGTTCATCAATTTTCGTGTACGTAGAAAAGTTCATCCTAACATAAGGAGTATAATATATATATAATATAATATATAATATAAGGAGTATAACGATGCAATGATTGATCGCTCGAAAAGTTTGATAACCAATAAAAAGAGCTCATCTCCGCACAAAAGTTTGTCAACGTTGTTACAGCGGAATGTCAATGGATGAAGAAAAAAGGGTAAAAAGACAAAGTAATATAAAATAAAAAACACAATTGTCGACACATTTTTTTCCTTTGAGAAATAGGCACTAAACATTACTTAGTTCGCACAATAGGGTGAATACGCACTCGAACCGAGCAAGTAGGAGTAAAGCTTCATGAATGGACAAACTTGACCTATTTATGTTGCCATGTCGAAGGACGATCAGTTTAGTTGATACCCGAAAGACAAGCTTATTATTTTTTTTTTCCTTATCCCCGTCTTGGTTATGGTTTATAAGGATTACGTGCTTGTTTCTGGGGCGTGGACGTCTGAGAAAAGTATCATTTCTTTATTTTTAGCGTAGCTTTACGATACGACGGAGAAGAGCATAATTGAAAGATAGATTTTGAGACTCTGGTGTCACGTGTATTCTGTTTCGAGAACAGCATCAATTGAATTTAACAAATTATTTAGAAATCAAGTCCTGTGTTAATAAATAAAATGACATTTTCTAGGGCAAATACACTCAAAATTGCTGGACTAACCCTTTCATAATAAGAATTCATTATCAAATGGAATATCTCGTAAACGTTAAGCGATAAAATTCCAATTTTATCAAAAAAAAAAAAAAATCTTACTCCTTCACTTTGATGATTAATTACAAGTTATCGATGAAGTCACAAGTTCTTTAGTGGTAAAACTAATCAAGCCGTAAATGAATACTGTTTTGCTGTCGACTATTATACCTCTCAAAATCCTCATTAACAACCCAGACTACCATCATTTGAGAGGTACACGCAAACATTTAGGCAAACAATAATTAGGAGTCACGCACATAAAGATTCTCAGAACTCAGCCGCAAGTAAATTCGCTTAACGAAAATGGCATATACCTCCCAACCCCTAGACCACAACAGCTGGCCTCGTCGAAATCCTCGGAAACTCTCACGAGTCCGAGTGCGTGACTTAACTAAGCTTCACGCCTAATTAATTTTGATGAATTTCTGGAAGCTTTGCGGTGTACCTTCGTGAGCAGACGCGAAAGCTCGTAATAGGTACTCTGTCATCTTTTGATGGCTCGGTTCTTCAAGTTAGTGCAACTTAATCAGATGTATATGTTAGAGCAAATACCTCTGTGATTTTTCACATGTGCTTTTTCACCACGCAATGCTCCTCGTGAAGGAGATGGGCAACCTTCTCGCAGAAAAATAGCCAATTTTCCTTCTACACCCCTCCCAGTAATTGGAGGCCTTCCATCCGTCTTTTCTTTCCTCTCCCAAGTGCTCAGTGCTCAGAGTAGTGCCCTTTATAGGAACCGGCCGAACGTACAGCACTAAAATATATTTTTTTTAATGTATATTTTTTGGTGTTGGATTCCAACCATCACCTACCGTACATGTCAACCTATTTCGAATCTCTGTAACCACCTACTTCTAGTTAAGCTCTGGAGTAATTGATCAGCAGTGAGCTCTGATGAAAAACTCTTCTTTTTAAAGAGGCTTTGAATAACACTTTTGCTGCATATAGAATTTGATGATCAGATGATCAGACTTAAAAATGAACGGTTTTGGTAAGTGTTAAATACTGTTTCATTAAATACAATTTCGAGGATACCATCGATCAGTTTTATCGAACAATTGATTTCATTCCAAGTTATCTGTAACCAATACATAATCTTAATTATTTGCCTTTGGAGCTAATGAAAGACAATTACGCCACGCATTTCCGAAATTCTGATGATATTCTCTTTCTTTTACCGATTGATCTCATCATACACCTCCTGCAGCAGTTTGAACTTTTTCCATCCCTTGCAGAAGACGTGCGTAGATCTGCGTATTTAGTGCCCTCTGGTTCTTGTTTCAATATGCTGAGTGCTACTCTTTCATCATATGCTTCATCCTTTGCCCTGCGTGGTATGGGGCTCCGGGACTCGATACCGAAGGCTATACGTTCAAAGGGTTCACTTAAAGCCTTTCATTCAGGGTATTCAGGTATGACTTATTTTCACTCAAAATTAGTCGTAAGATTCGTAGCTAAACTGCACTATTGCTCTATCCTATGTATTATTATTTATTATTGTAACAGTATTTTCATTGTTATTTTATATAAAGTATTGGCTTAACTGGTATAAGAGTATTGTATACTAGAAAGAGTAAACAAATCATATTATGAATTATTACCAGAATTATATATTATATACATATATTTATAAGTACGAAAAGTATATGTACATTCATGCTTTTGCCATTCGGATCACTGATCCTTGGTATAAAAAAATTTTGATTTAAATCTAAATCTGCAGGACCTTCACGTGTATCGATGCGATTCTTGTTTGATAGGATAGGTGCATACCCTAATATATCTATAAAAAGCTTCAGCTCTGATATAACTCCAAACTTCTTGATATATGGGGAACTGGTTGAACACCAGACTCACTACTAGACATGACAGAAAGTGATGTGCTTTTACGATACGAAGGAGGTATCTTTACCTTGCCCTAAGCCTCCAAATTTGATTGTTTGGGGAACTAGGTAATATTAAAATGATTATCATCTGGAAAAATATCTGTCATTCGAATCTCTACGCTGCCTCACATATTGACCTGCTGTTACTACGCTGCAACATCAATCCACAAGGGACGATTAGATCATGTCTCTTGTCTTCTTTTATGCGTTGGTATTTAACAAGGACAGATTCACACCTGCTAGAAGGCTCCTCACAGTGCATGAAAATATACGTACAGTATAAGTTCGGATACACGACACGTATACTGCAAAATCTTGTCGAAGAAGCAGATTACGTAAGAGACCCCTACCACTGGCTGTGTAACCAAGGGCGCTTGTGACCTCTCAGTTTGCCACATCACAATATATATGTAAGCAGGGAAGCTGTGTTTCGTTAAGTAGGCCGGTAGTACAGAAACTTTTTTCCCTTGATTTATAATTTTTATCGCAACTTTTAGTAATTAGGGGCAAAAGTTCACACCTTTCATTATCGACATTATGTACCTGGGAAAATATGTATTGAGCAAAACAGCAATAGCCGGAGAATCGATTTAAACTAATAATATAGGTCAATATCAAAATTGTGAGCTGTAAGCATACAGATTGTGGAGATAAAGTTATACGAATAAAATTAATTTTTCGTTGGCTGATAAGTTTATTAATTTAAAAAAGGAATTAGGTCAAGCCACATAATTTTAAACTGGTTAGAGCAGGTATTTATTAATTGATACATATTTCCAAGCTGATGATTTGGTTAGTGACTATGTGTGAATGATTCGTTTTTTTTCTGCTTATACATTTTACTATGCGTATTTGTTTTTAAATTCGAAAAAAAAACTATGTGTTTTTGGTATTAAAAGGATTAACGTACGTATAATGATTTTTTAGAAAATAATATGCAATATTGTAGCTTTATTTATAAATTTATTAAGCAATAATACTTATGATAGCAATGGCTGTTAAATGGTATACTGAAAGAACGATGCTACGAACTAGTTTTCATGTGTACAATGAAGTATTATTTTTTAAGATTTTAAATACTGTGGACAATAACAATAATACTAATAACAAGTTTCTGAAGTTGAAGCAATATCATATTGTTTTTTAGTACTACGTAAAATTAAATATTTAAAATAAAGATTCTTATTATTTAAGATAAGCATAAAATGAAACTTACTCGTAAAAATTCCTTTTGACTCATGCTTCAAAAAAAAGAGATCCATGTCTGAAAATTAAAAAAATTAGTTCATTGATTGTTAGTTTCTTACGAAAAATAAGATAAATCAAGAAAATTCAATATTACATGGCTTTTGTATTATATTAAAACTTAATACTAATACAGACGTCATTTTTTCAAATACGTCTACAAATCGTAAATAAGGGCCGATCTTAAATTGAAAATAATATCAGATGAAAATAATGCAATGAAAATTTATCAAGTTTTACTGCAACGAGACACAAAACATCCACTGACATGTCGAATGTAATTTCGATAAAACCATGATTCTTCCGTTATCATGCGTTTTTACGTCTCCGGTAAAGTTTACATCGACTCTTTAGGGTTAGCAAAAAGGCTTGGCTGACGAAAAAATTGAACAAACCCAAACAAACATATTCAACCATCTAATTACCTTCTAACACATTGATTTTCTATTTTGCATGTTAACATTTGTTTTGTTTACATTGTTAATATTGTCTTGTAGTATTCTGTTTTTGCAACTTTGTGAAATTGTTTTGAACTTTTTTTTTACGGAATAATCTCGAGAGCAGAGCATTAAATGCCATTTACGAGCACACAACAGTGCACGCGTACGAAAATAGAGCGGCCGACTTTCAGAAAGCTCGTAAAGTTTAAAGTACCGAGAAATAACGCGGGTGTTTGCTTGGATTTTCGCGAAATGAAAATTAGTCCTACAGTTTTCGTGAGTACTAAAGATGCAACTCATCCCATTGGGACGTCTTAGCGACAAGCATTTTCATTTACTGATCGCCAAATAATTTAAAACACTTGTGTCGCAAAAAAAGGACTAGGCTATCGGTGAAACACTACAGCAACACCAGCTCCCGAAGGTCGCTTACTAGGCCAGCCAGTCCATCGTACATATCGTACACGCACGTGCATCAAAATCAGCTCCAAACTTCTCTCCCATGGATCGTAAATAAACATGACCGCAAAATGCCACCAAAGCGTAAAGCTAAAAGGGGCGGGTGTATCGCCGCTAACGCGTCACACGTGTAATTTATCGATCCAACGATTCGCACTATACCCCTCCATTCCTCTTTCCCCTTTCACCTTCCGTGGAATAGATATCATCTCGTGATTGATGCAACAAATGTGTCACTAATTGACCAGGCGCTTACGGTATACGTACACATCGTTGGATGCACGGAAATTCTCTGACGCTCTTTGCTGTCTTCGAATTAAAATAGGACTGTGACGTTGTTGATGACGTTAGGATTCATTTTTTCCATTGACAATAGTGAATACAATAAAATTTAAAAATAACTACTGTGCATGACTATCACGACAATTTAAGTTATCCAAAAGTGGTGAAAGGTATACTTACCTACATTTCAGTTTTTATAACATCCAGAAATAAATACTTTCTTCGAGTCATGGTGGTCATGCAGCTAATAATAGTGTCAAAAAAGGACAAACTAATCAAACGATAACTGCATCGTATCGTCAACAGACTCAAACACAAATAGATATGTGAATGTAGATACATGAGGTAATCCACAAAGAGTATCCCGTTTTTGTCCCTTTGATGAAAAAAACTTTTTTGAGGCACACCCTTGAAACGGGCTTATTTTACTCGTAATGTCATGTACTATAAGGACAAATTTTTTAACGCGGGTTTCAGTGAGGATGACAACCTTTTTGCGTAATTTACATGTTTAAATTAAATCTATAGCTATGACATATTATACAGAAAATTTTTTTTATTGAAATGGGGGACAAAGACGGGATATTTTTTGTGGATTTCCTCATGTCAAGTCATGAATGATTTTCACACAAATGGGGAACCACTGTATTATTAGGCTGATCTTATCGTAATCTCAGCCCCCAACATCTGCTAGTGATTCCTGTCGGCTCTCGTGTGTTTGATGTTGTCGCATGTGTACACGCACATCTTCCAGCAAGAAGCCAACGATACATGGATCAGTGTCCATTTCCCGAATTTAAAAAATGTTATTGTAGTCATTATTGACACGACCACGTGATGGAATTGCTTCTTTTGTTGCTTAATAATTTTTAAAAAATTGTATCAATCACTTTTTGTTGATGCAGAAGCTCTTTTATTAATCACTCTTTTTTCCAATTTAGAAACATATTTGACTTCAAGTTGTATTTCAGGTGGCAATAATAAATTTACACCCTTGTTACAGAAAAAGAAACTTCCAACGAAACTGGTAGTTCTAAATATGCGGCTAATGTCTATTTATTAATACATCCCGCAACAAACAGACAATTTTTCTTTAATATTCTGTGATCCATATTTATAATTTACAAGTAGAAATTAATGATATAAGGAGCTTGACTGCAAGTATAAAGGTGATAATAAAAATTTTCATCTAAAGCATAAGTTAACCATACAAAATTGGTTCATCGTAACTTCTTGGTTTGGATGACCTTATTTGATGCCCGTTTAATGGACAACTTGATAGAAATCCAAATATATTAGTCAAATCGCAAACGATCCAAAACAATACTCACTTGACTAAACGTCAATAAGCTTACAAAAAATGAATCGCCTTCAAAATAATGCAAAGAATTTCCTGAGGTGCTTAATTTTTGTTATGAAACTATACCAAAGAAAGGAGAATTTTTTCTACGGATTTCACCAAGTATACCTCCACCTGTCAGGCGATACAACGATCTCACGATTCTTTTTCCTGTCACGTCATAAATACAAGTGTCGTTGTACCACAAGGCACACGTCAACTCGTCAAAGACAAGATGACTATCAATCTCCACGTACGATTCAATAATTACATGTTAATTGAAAAAAAAAGAAAAAAAACAAAAAGAAAAAAAAAGATCTGATACATCTAGAGCTGATGAGCTCCTCTTGACAGCGTAAACCCCTCCACCCCTAACCCATCGAAGCGAGCAATCGCAATCAACTTGCAAATTGAGTTGAAAATTTAATTACACTGCGCTGGTGGTATTCTAGGTAAAATCGTGTGCACGTCTGATGGTGTGCTGGCAGAATTTACAGCGTTCTTCGATAAAGTCAAATACACTCACTTTGAGACCTGCAAGATCGATCTAACACCAATGTTGTTGTAGAGGTTGTTATTGTGGCACACATTACGAGGGAAATAATTACCAGGAAGACTATATACACACAGGATACACCATATACTTCATCCTTTTTGCGTTATCTCGGAGAATCTACATATGAATGTGTTATCTTACTTGCGAACTCTAAGTGATAATTTTTTCAATATTTAAAAGTTTTAATGTATTTTGTGTTCGTAAATGAACGATAAATTTTATAACGTTAGCTTCTCGAAACACCGCGCTTTGTTACGTGCGCATATAATTATAAAGTCCCGAACAGGTTTTTCTCATTTTGCATGTCAGCCTTTTTACCCCCACCTATGCTATTAAGTTTTTTCACAAAGCTTTGTACGTACAAACTACCAATTTCCATACTTATAACGACTACTTATTACTCGATGCATACATGTTACGAAAAATATCCACTTTCCGTAACATACTTTTTTTTTTATTAATCAACTACAACCACTAATGCGAGACAATCACAACTAGTACGAAAAATCATTTTTTTTTTTGTTTTACTTGTTACGTAAATAACTAATTTTAAATCACACAATTTTCTTAGTAACCGCACAATGGAAGGTGGCAAAATGTAAAATCAAATTATCCTGTAAGTATGGTCATGTTCATAAAGGAATTCCTTAAATGAAACATAATATTTTAATTCATTCTTTGGTATTATCGTTGACTTGGACACAACAAAACTAGAATGTATGTACCAGGTGTTGTTTTTCTTAATTTTTTTTTACCTACAAAGTAAAGTGTAGTTATTCATTAAAAGTAAACGTATAAACGTGATGGCCATAGAGAGCTTATTACGATGAATACCCAGATAAAGTCCAATATTTCCGCTACTACCCTCATCCCGAATACCCGGTTAATCACTGTTATGGAAAATTACCGCGCCAGCCCTACGTCCGTTTTCGGCCGCGTATTGTGCCCATTGAAGCCGCGAAACAAGGTTTCAAACGCGGAAAAATTGAATTAAGTCGAGCACCCGCGTAAATGACAAAAGTTTGGGGCCGAGCAAAACTTTTGCGCAAGTGCAAATAACACGCAGAGCTGTGTACTTACGCTCGGGAATACTATCCGGCTGTAACTGCCCCAACAAACACTGGCTATCTGTTTTATCACTTTGTACATGGCAGGCTTGCTCGGAACTACCCTCCCATTGGAATAAATTAAGTTTGACCGAGAGAATGGTCAAATGTTGAAATCGTAGTTTCGAATTCGGGGATTTCAGGTTAACAGAGTTATTCACTGCTGATGGAACAAAGTGGAATAACATTTTGGAAACGGTGTTTGCTTTCGGGTTCTCAAAGTTTATCAAACGATTGCGAATAAGCGCATGACAAATAAATGTGTATTTAAGACGTTTTGAATGACTAAAATTGCCTTTACGAGTTGCTTACTGTCTATTGCACCCTTATCGGTTGTGCACGATATATCTCAAGTTTATGGAAAAATGTAGCAAGGGATAGTCTGTTAGTATATTTATAACTTTTAATGATTTTTCATTGGCTCTCTTTTTATTTTTGATACTCCTATAATTTGTGAGATTACTAATTCTTGTAAAACTCATTGAAAATAATATTCTTATCCAGTATAAATTCTTAGGAATGATTTTTTGCTTATATACTTTTTTATGGATTCAATTTTCATTTTTAACAAAATTTCTTTTTTATGATGTGTTACGTAGTATAAGCACCAAGTTGGAGTGTTACATAAAAAAATATATCTCATTGATTCCATTATTGGATTTTTTTCATACCAGGGAGCTTCATCTATTGTACGCCTCGTGTGCCGTCTAATTTAATTTTTATTACAAAAATTTTATAGATAAAGAAAGGTGCTTCCCTGATCTCTCAAGCAATAGTACCTCACAGCGTACCTTCTAATAAATGAAGTGCACTGTCATGTGTCACAAAGGTTCACTT